AATATATAGGTATAAATGCAGCTACATATACAGATAAAAATGAAGATATAAAGCCTCAGATAGAACACATAAACATATATACAGATATGAATATACAGATATAAAGGCAAATCGATACATAGATATATCGGCTTATAGGCGTATATATATATATATATGTATATACATATAACTGTTTATATACATTCATACATACATATGTACAAACGAATAAATAGACAGCTTTATAGAGATGTAGATGTAGAGGCATGTACATGTGTATATGATAACGATATACAGATATATGGATATCGAAATATATAAGAATACATGTATATATTGAAGTATATAAAAATACAAGTATACACATATATAGAAATACAGATATACCGGTAAACAGAGATATGAGACATAGATACATAGATATATAGTTATATGGATATGTATATATATATATATATATATATATAAGTATATAGATATAAAAGTATATTGATCTGTAGGTATTATCTAGAGATATACAGGTATGAGGATATATTGGTGTATAGATATATCGAAATATAGAAACTTGCGTTTGTAGATAGACACGTATAAAGATATAGTGATACAGATACATGTGCTTATATAAATATACATACTATGCTATTTAACTATTTAATCATTCAGGTGTAGATATAGATATAGATGTAGGCGTAATGTAGTATATATAAATAAATAAATATATATATATATATATATATACATATAGATTTGAATCCACATTCCGGTGTACATACACACATAGAAGTAGACATGGATATGGACATAGGTTTAGAGAAAGATAAACGTATAAATACATAAGACATTGCTATAAATATCAAAATCGTTCGTCATATCTCCTGATTCAGATACATGCAGAGATATAAGTATAGAAATGCAACAGATGTGGATAAAGAAGTGGATGTAAATAGATACAGATGTACACCATAATATATACATGTATATGTTGAGAACTGCGGTTTCTAGATAATTGGATTTAGACATAAGGGAAAACTATAGACACAAATTAAAATCAGCAATTACCCAAATATATACACACAAGCGCAAGTAAAGCTTGAGACTGACATATGGGAAACATGCGTTCAGAACAAAAGTACACAGAAACACGCACATCCATATCTAGATACATATGAAGATGTGAGTATCGATAAACATGTAAACATGGATATACGTTGGACTCAGGTTTACATACGTGCACACAAGCACAAAAAAGGTATATATCTGGATATGGATATTGAGACATAGATACAGGAAGATGCAAGCCTTATTTTTTGAAGAATCTTCGTTTATGCAACAGCAAACAGGGTGCATGTATGAAAGCTATTTCACCTGAAGACAATTCGGCCTCGGCCGGTGGCTTCCGAGTGAACAGCCCTCGGAAGGGTTTGCTTAAATTGAAGTGAGGCTTCGAGTCGCTCAAATCTGTATCCGATCCTATAGAAAGACGAAGTATGTGAGTAGACACCGGTGTAGATATAAACACGCACAAAAACACAAATATCGTTTTTGGTATGGATGCGCACGTATAAAAGTTCTCACACGTTGAAAAACTTCCGCCTCGGCCGGTGGCTTCCGCCCCCGGCCTCGGCAGAAAAGGCTGGAGCTGCTGGTGCGGGCTCGGTCTGGGGTTGGCTGGGACTGGGGGTTTGTTCGATTCTGTGTGTCCGTCCGTCACTCCGTCCCTCCATCCGCCTATCCGTCCGCTAGTCAGATAACGACGGAAGAGGAATGGGCCGGAGCCTGTCTGGGGCTGAGGCTGCGGCTGGGGCTTTGGGGCTAGGGGTAGGAGGGGCCCTTGCCTTGCGGGCTGGGTTGGCTGCGACTGGGGGTTGTCCGTTCGTCCGACCGTACCTGCATCTGCGCGTCGCAGCTCCCTCTCCGAAACCTATCTGTCCGTCTCTGTCCGCTAGTCGGGCCGGGGCTGGGCGGGCTGAGGCTTGGGGGCTGGCTGGAGCTGGGGCTGGGGCTTTGGACCCGAGCAGACAGAGCGACGGACGAACGGACGGGACCAAAAGGGTCCGGGACCCTGGAAGTTGGGGCTGGCTCCGTCTGTGTCCGTATATCCGTCCGTCTGTACGTCGGTCTGTCTCTCCGTCCATCCGTCCATACGTCCATCCGCCCATCCGTCCGTCCGTCCGTCCGTCGCTCCGCTGGACCTTGGGTTTTTAGGGTTTGGAGGAGCGGTCGAAACAATTCTGTTTCGTCAATTTTCGTTTTTGTTTTCTGTGTCGTCGTTTCGCTCTCGTGCTCTCGCTTCCATCCTGATCGTTCGTCCGTCTGTCCGTCACGCCCCGCGGTCTCGGCTTTCAGATTTTGGGAATTTGGATATCGGGTCTGGATCGTCGAATTCAACGAAAAAACAAAACCAAATTTGTTTCCGGAATTGTCGTTTTTGTTTTTCGCGTCGCTTCGTTTGCCTGCTCGTGCGTTCGTCCGTCCCTCCCGTCCCGATGGTCCGTTCGTCGCGCATTCGTTCGTCTGTACCTATCGCGTCCCTACGTTTGCGTGCTCGTGCGTCCGTCCGTCCCTCGCGTCCAGATGGTCCGTCCGTCCCTCGCGTCCAGATGGTCTGTTGCTTCCAACCCCCCCTCACTACTAGTACTACTAACTTTTTCTACTACAACGATTACTTCTGCTATTTATCATGCTACCAGTCAAAATGACAATGACTCAAAGAAAAATGACAGTAGCAAAACTGCCACTGCAGCTTCCACTAGAACTACGACTCCTAGTGCTTGCACTGACACTTGGAGTTCTACCACTCATAATCCGAGTAACGCGGGCACCAACACTGGTCCAAACTTGTACCACCGCATTTTGGGGGGATGAAGATGATTGCGATTAGGAATCTAAATTGTAATCGTGAAAGTGACGGAAGCCGGGAACCCGGGCACGGGGTGGCGATCACTATAGTACCCAACGGTTTGGTACTGTGTTTTGTTTTGGGTTTTGAACAAACCAGAATAGTATTTCGATTGTTTCCATGGCTCACCACCTCTTTCCTCAAGCTGCACCCCTACCCAATCAGGTGCTCGAGCCCCTGGGGTCCCGATTGGCATCACGACAGACATGTTTGTAACAAACATGTCTCCCGCGAGAAGGTGCAGCATCATTGAAAAGAGGGCCCAGGGTAACCGAGTCAAGCACAGCGGACCGTTGAGCGGTGGCAGTGGTGGCGGCGGTGTTTTGCACGGTGGTGGGCAGTGGCGGGGGTGGGAGTGGTGGGAGTGGGAGTGGCTGCAATTGCGGCGGTCCGTGGTGAGTGTGGAAATTGTGGGTTGTGGGTTGTGTTGGTTGTGGTTGTGGTGATCGCGCTGATTGTGGCGGTTGTTTTGCGGTGGTTGTGTTCGCGCGCAACAGCAGATCCAACCGAAGGTGGGTGATACCAGGCCGCAGTAGTGGTAGCCGCAGTAGTGGCAGCCTGGCAGCAGCAGCAGCAGTCGTAGTAGTGGCAGCAGCAGCAGCAGCACAGCAGCAGCAGCAGCAGCAGTCGTAGTAGTAGCGGCAACCACCGCGAAAACACCCAACCGTTCCCAACAACGACCAATATCGCGATGACACCGATGACCCGATGACGACGGACACTTGGACGACGAAAGTGAAATTCAGCAAGACTGACGACGACGCTGCGAGTGAAGCCTTAGTCGTGATAAGGCTCCATAACGACGAGAAAGATGTTGAGAGATTGGAAGCATGACCCACTGCCGCAGCAACAACAACCGTATCAGCGGCACACGTCGCCAACATGACCAGATGTGATCGTTGCTATGTTGTTGTTGGTGGTGGCCCCATACAACTGGCGAGGAGTTTCATTGAGGCAGCCATACATGCCACAAGATTTCGTGGATGTTCCATACTACTAGCGCGGATTTTTTGTTGATGCCCGATACATCGAGGTTCATGAAGATCCGCAGTAGCAGTATGGCGTTTGACGTATGGCGAACTCATAGTATTTGGCATGCATGAATCCTAACAACCGTTGCAGGTGCGAAAACGAGGCATGCAGCGTGGAGGTTCAGAGGCCGTGGCTCATAAACAAATCCGGACTGCAGGGCTAATCCCAAAAATCCGCAGTAGTAGTATGCAACATCGACGAAATCTTGTAATAGTCACCCGCGAGTCAGTGAACACTCCTCGCTCGTTGTATTGAGCAACTGCCAGCAACAAAAACCCAAACTAGCAGCATGGTACATCGGAAGTCAGTGCGGCTAGCCCACAAGATCCGTGCTAGTAGTATGGAACATCGACGAAATCCGCACTAGTACTATGGAACATCGACGAAATCTTGTAAACCGTATGCATGAGTCACTGAAAAAACTCCTTGCTTGTCGTACTCCGAACATCCGAAAGCACACATTGACTGGGTACTTGCGACGAGTAGTGGACCAGTGGACGACAATGCACCAAAAAAACAACAAGATTTAGATAGTTTAGTTGACGATGCATACTACGCATGCTAATGTTTGTTACGATCGTCTGAACATCCGTACTGCGGCTTACTTGCCCCAGCAACAACAACAACACCCACCGCTTCTGCTAAGCCAAGCAGCTTCACTTCACATTCCAAGCGTCTGCCATGATCTGCATGTTGGTGCGGCAGCGAGACAACACGTCATTGCCCGGCCAGCCATCCAACTCGAACGCCGCCTTGATCGTCGCAAGCAGACCCTCAGCGGCTTCGGGAACCCACTTGTAGCTGATCCAGGACGCAGGAGCTTCGCATCGCTCCCAAACCACGACCAGCGGCGGCAGGTACAGCAGCTGACCAGGCTCCAAGGATATCTGGACGCCGCCTTTGATGACAGCCTCCTTCATCTTCTCATCCATGGCAATCGCAGCAGCAACCATTGAGGCAATGTTGTTCTGAATGCCAAGCTCCTGCCACCAAAACAACGGAAAATGATTCCAACCATGCACAAAACCTAGACATGCACAATCTTGCAGACTGCAACACACAGCAGAGCATTCCAAACAGTAGCAGATCATGCATCAATGTCCTTGCACGTGACGAAGAAGCTGTCCAGCGACATCATGACGATGTCCAGCTTGTTGTCGCCGAAGCTGTGCCGGAAAGAGGCAAGATCCAGGATCTGAAAGCTTGTCTTCTTTGCAACCAGACCAACGAAGCCGGGCACCATGAAATCCTTATGCGCATCCGCCAACTTCTCGGGCCGGGAAGTCGACGACAACTTTGCGTAGTAGTTGCCAAGCTTGCTCTCCGCTGCCCCGATCTTCATGAACGCCCTTCCGGTGTTCAAGGCAGCCGAGCTCCCCGGAAACTGGCTCATGAAGATGGCAAGCCGGGCCTCAAAGAAGGGCTGCCCGACGATCTCAACCGGCGTGGGGACATTGACCGTCACACACCTCGACACAGAAGGGCCGAGGTCGTCGAAGAAGGAGTCACCGTTGGCCTCCGTCACCTTCTCAATGCTCGAGAGCTTGCCGAAGAGCTCGACCAGAACATCAGGATTCGCTGTCGGACCCTTCGCCGCCGGTGCCTTGGGCTGGGCTTGCTTTGCAAGGGCCTTCGCCTCCGCTGCGGCCGCCCTCTTCTGCTTGTTCTCCTCCTCCTTTTCCTTGCGCTTCCGCTTCTTCGTCACCTCCCGGATCGCTTTGGAGGCTTCCTGCATTGCCACGGTCACGGACTGTGCCAAGGCACGCCATGTGCTCACCATGCCCTTCACCTGCTCCGCGGCCTTTGGCAGATCCTCGGCGCTTGTGATGCTTTTGAGCTGCTTCTGCAAGTCTCGAACGCTGCCCGCGCTCCGGAGCAAGGTTTTGTTTGGAACAGGCGAGACTTGGCCCGTGAGCGCGTTCTGCAGCAAAAGGTCGCGCTGGCTCCAGCTGTCATCCTTGCTCAGGTCGTCGTGAACTAGTTTTGCCAAAACCAAGCGCTCGCAGACTATGCTTTTGTAGTCTTGCACGATACCCTCGCCGTCGATATCGTTCACCTGCATCAGACGACATGAACGTAAAACATCCCGGCACATGACGGTTTGTGCATGAGGCAGCAGTGACGAGCAACCAAGAGTAGAGATCAATCACATCGCCTACGCCTACCAAGCAGCGACACAGATCCGTTCAGTTGTCCAGTCTTGAGCTTTGAGCCGTTGCTGTTCGGCGTCGTAGCAGTAATGGATTTATCGTTTCGGGCTCCATATTGCAGTTACGAACAACCTAGAGTTAGAGATGAACCATTTTCCCCACTCATTTCGTCTTCATTTCGTCGCAATGATCCTGCCTGGATGTTGCGTTAATTTCGTCTTCATTTCTCGGCATGAGACCGACCCGCATCACGCATGGATGTCATTGCGTTCATTTTGTCTTGATTTCGTTGCAATGATCCTGCCTGGATGTTGTGTTAACTTCGTCTTCATTTCGTTGCAATGATCCTGCCTGGATGTTCTTGCGACACTGGCAGTATTTCTTTGTGCGTGCAACCAAGCTGTCGTCCAGTCTTGAAGCTTCAGTCTTCAGTGCTTCAGCCAATGCTATTCGCATTCATGGATTTATCGTTTCGGGGTTCATATTACAAGCTGATGAGGATCAACCAACCAATCCGAAACCCTTGCAACGGAACCAAGCGCCTCCTTCTCCACCTTGGCGATTGTGGCGCCAAGGGTCTCGAGAGCCTTCTGGAGCTGCTCCCCGGTCTCGTCGAAGGCCTTCAGCCGCGACACTGTCAGGTCACCGCCAACGAGTTTCTCTTTCTCTCCGTTCTCTTCGTCTGCAGCTGCAGCAGGCGCACTGGAGAGGGAACCGGCGGAGGCGTTGGAGCCTGTGGAACCCCGTCGCTTTGGTCTCGCTTCAAAGAACTTGTTCGCCTCAGACGAGAAGAAGTTCGCGGGTCGGTCGTCAGCGGTGTCCTCGAGGAAGGATTCCTTCGCGACCTTCGGGGAGGCTTCGTTGACAAGCTGGTGGGAGACGCGGCGGCGAGCCTTGGAGTCAACGTAGTCCTCCTTCCTCACGAGCAGTCGTTCTGGAAAGGCTCTGTTCTCGCCTTCCAGGTCGTAAGCGCCCTCTGCAGCGAGACGGGTCCGCCATTTTGTCTCGATGTCTTCGGGCGAAAGCTTCTTCTGCGAGTAGAAGGCCTCAAAGTCAAACCAGTCCATCTTCGCCATGCGCGTGCCCTCGTCGGAAATCTGCTCGTTGGCGATGATCTCGAGAGCTCTCGACTTGGAGTACTGCACACGGGCGCGGCCTTTGCCTTTCGACGGGCACTCCAACTGATAATCCCGGACCAATTTCCGGAAGGTGCGCTCGTTGCGCTTCGCATCTTCGTATTTCTCGACCCACCCATCGTCCTTCGCGGTCTTCGCCAAGCTGTCCACGTCAGCTTTGCACTTCTGACAATACGGATTCTTGCCAGTGCAATCTTCGCACTGGCAGATCATGCACTTGAGGCCACGGTACGTCTCACGTCCCGGAGCCTTCTTTGGAGCAGGAACCCCGAGCACACGGGCCTCACCTGAGGCCTTCGCCTTCGCCTTTGCTTTCGACTTGGCCCTCCGACCAGTGGAAGCTGCATTGCCGAAGGCATCAGCAGCTGCAAGAAGCCCCTCAAGCTGCTCGTCACCCTCGAACTGCACTTCCTCTTGGAGAGGCCCTTCGAGATCGGCCATGACTCAGCAGCTACACACTACAAGAAGCTGGTGTCGTGCGTCCTGCCTAGAATGCCGGCCAAGAAAAGTGTCCTGGATCCCTGCCTGGAACATGGGATTGTGCAGCCCTGCCTGGAGCATGAGATTGTTGCAACTCGCAGATATTCACTTGCCCAACTTGCTCCATCATTCAACCTATGAGCCAGCCACCTGAGTCACTCGATCGATCATCCACTGCACTGGCTGCACTGGCACAGCGATTCACTGACTTGAAGTCTGGCCCCGCAAGGACGGAAGGTCTGGTTGACAAAGCTGCCTTTTTTGCACGGAACGCAGAATCCATTGTACCACCGTGTAGTACAACTAGTCTGAGAAAACTCGCGAACAAAACTCTGAACGACGCTGGAGGCGCTGCTTGGAGGAATAGGATCACAAGTAAGGTAACTATAGCTCCAATTCTGTATAAGACCAATTAAAGTATCTATAACCCTAGTCAGCCTAGTTACTGAGTCCCATGATACTCCAGGGCATTGGGGCGGGGCCCAGAAACCAAATCAGATGCTTAGTGTGGCCAGGGCTGGGATCGCGGGGACTGGGGTCTGGCGGTCCATAGTCTAGAGTACAATCTATAGACTCTAGAACCCGAGGTAATTTTATAAGCTTTTCCCCTGACCCCGGACCCCTGACTCGTTATGGACAGCATCCTTCCTCCAACACTTCCGTCCGTGCAAACTGCTCGACCTGCAGACAGGCTTCTGTGCCGCTCATGTTGTACTCGGAGGCAGGCCTCCTGCTGTCTGTTTGCAGATGCTGGCCGAGCAAATTATGAATCATGATGTGTGCTCGTGTTGTGACACTCCTGCCAGGTAAAGCAACCTGTTCCAAACATTTGCAGATAGCAGTGGTGCTACTAAAGATTTGTGGATATCTGTTACAGGCAATCTGACAGTCTCCTGGCGTAGGATGAACGATGCTGTCAAGTTCGTGGCTCTCCAAAGTCTACTGTCTACAGAATAGTCTACAAACCCTGGGGCCCCGGTCACAGTCTGAAAGCATTACCAGGTGTAGTAACTCGTTCGTGACAGCATCGTTCCTACAACACGAGCAGCAGGTAGGCTGGCCTCTGTATGTTACGCATGTCCAGCTGACTCTGAGAAAGACCGCGTGAAATCCTTGCTTCTGCAATCTGCAGGTAAAGCAGACTGTTCTTCTAGTCTGCTGCAGCGTCAGCATCGTCAGCCGTGATTCTCAGCTCTGACGTGGACCGGAATCGAAATGAGGAAGGCGAGGCACAAGGCGACAGGGAGCCGAGTGCATACGCAGCCCATGTTCCAATGACAGCACGATGCATGGCAAGCTCAGAAACATGCTGTCAAAACATGGATCCACGGACTTCTCAAGCACGAACTGCTTGAGAAGACTCTTGTCCTCTAGCAGCGGGACGCCTTGCAGCAGCATGTGCTCTGCTGGCAAGGCCGTGCGCTGCAGCTTGTGGCTCCAGATCCTTGCTGCATATGGAAAGCAAGAAAGCAAAGCCAAAGTGTTTTCAGACCGAACGTACATTATCCCCCCTGGGCATGCAAGCGGCAATGATCCACGAAGAAGGCATGGGGCACTGTTTGCGACTCCGACCGTGGTCCACTCGGCGGTCTGGGACAAGTCGACCAAGAAGTCCTCGCCCAGCTCACCCCCGTCCTTGGCAGCGAGCTCCTCAAATTCATCAAGCATTTGTCTATGCCGCGGAGTCAGCACTCGTCTGAAATCAGCTGCTTCGAGAGGGCCTTCTGCGTGGTAGAGTTTCTGACGGAGTTTGTTTCGGAAGTATTCCTCGACGATGTTCGGTGGCATAGCCAGTAGATCGCTGCCCGTCATGGCCGCAGAAGCACCGAAATGAAACTCGAATGCGAAGCGGAACAGTGCCATCGACGATGGACCAAAGCAGTGAAGCGCCTTGGCCGTCTCACCGGCCATGCAATGTCCAGCCTAGGTCAGCAGAACTGGTTCACTCCATGGCCCTTCAATGCTAGAGGATAACGCCACACTTGAACATCCATTTTGCGCCCAGTAACGGTGAAAGGGTGAACTGCAAGGCAGAGTACCTCAGCCACCGAGGCAGGGCACACACACACACACACACGCCCCGAGCACACGGGCCTCACCTAGGCCTTCGCCTTCGCCTTTGCTTTCGACTTGGCCCTCCGACCAGTGGAAGCTGCATTGCCGAAGGCATCAGCAGCTGCAAGAAGCCCCTCAAGCTGCTCGTCACCCTCAACTGCACTTCCTCTTGGAGAGGCCCTTCGAGATCCGCCATGACTCAGCAGCTACACACTACAAGAAGCTGGTGTCGTGCGTCCTGCCTAGAATGCCGGCCAAGAAAAGTGTCCTGGAGCCTGGAGCCCTGCCTGGAACATGAGATTGTGCAGCCCTGCCTGGAGCATGAGATTGTTGCAACTCGCAGATATTCACTTGCCCAACTTGCTCCATCATTCAACCTATGAGCCAGCCACCTGAGTCACTCGATCGATCATCCACTGCACTGGCTGCACTGGCACAGCGATTCACTGACTTGAAGTCTGGCCCCGCAAGGACGGAAGGTCTGGTTGACAAAGCTGCCTTTTTTTGCACGGAACGCAGAATCCATTGTACCACCGTGTAGTACAACTAGTCTAAGAAAACTCGCGAACAAAACTCTGAACGACGCTGGAGGCGCTGCTTGGAGGAATAGGATTACAAGTAAGGTAACTATAGCTCCAATTCTGTATAAGACCAATTAAAGTATCTATAACCCTAGTCAGCCTAGTTACTGAGTCCCATGATACTCCAGGGCATTGGGGCGGGGCCCAGAAACCAAATCAGATGCTTAGTGTGGCCAGGGCTGGGATCGCGGGGACTGGGGTCTGGCGGTCCATAGTCTAGAGTACAATCTATAGACTCTAGAACCCGAGGTAATTTTATAAGCTTTTCCCCTGACCCCGGACCCCTGACTCGTTATGGACAGCATCCTTCCTCCAACACTTCCGTCCGTGCAAACTGCTCGACCTGCAGACAGGCTTCTGTGCCGCTCATGTTGTACTCGGAGGCAGGCCTCCTGCTGTCTGTTTGCAGATGCTGGCCGAGCAAATTATGAATCATGATGTGTGCTCGTGTTGTGACACTCCTGCCAGGTAAAGCAACCTGTTCCAAACATTTGCAGATAGCAGTGGTGCTACTAAAGATTTGTGGATATCTGTTACAGGCAATCTGACAGTCTCCTGGCGTAGGATGAACGATGCTGTCAAGTTCGTGGCTCTCCAAAGTCTACTGTCTACAGAATAGTCTAGAAACCCTGGGGCCCCGGTCACAGTCTGAAAGCATTACCAGGTGTAGTAACTCGTTCGTGACAGCATCGTTCCTACAACACGAGCAGCAGGTAGGCTGGCCTCTGTATGTTACGCATGTCCAGCTGACTCTGAGAAAGACCGCGTGAAATCCTTGCTTCTGCAATCTGCAGGTAAAGCAGACTGTTCTTCGAATCTAGTCTGCTGCAGCGTCAGCATCGTCAGCCGTGATTGTCAGCTCTGACGTGGACCGGAATCGAAATGAGGAAGGCGAGGCACAAGGGGACAGGGAGCCGACGATATACGCAGCCCATGTTCCAATGACAGCACGATGCATGGCATTCCCGGACAAGTTCAGAAACATGCTGTCAAAACATGGATCCACGGCCTTGTCAAGCACGAACTGCTTCCACGGACTCTTGTCCTCTAGCAGCGGGACGCCTTGCAGCAGCATGTGCTCTGCTGGCAAGGCCGTGCGCTGCAGCTTGTGGCTCCAGATCCTTGCTGCATATGGAAAGCAAGAAAGCAAAGCCAAAGTGTTTTCAGACCGAACGTACATTATCCCCCCTGGGCATGCAAGCGGCAATGATCCACGAAGAAGGCACGGGGCACTGTTTGCGACCGTGGTCCACTCGGCGGTCTGGGACAAGTCGACCAAGAAGTCCTCGCCCAGCTCGCCCCCGTCCTTGGCAGCGAGCTCCTCAAATTCCTCAAGCATTTTTCTCTGCCGCGGAGTCAGCACTCGTCTGAAATCAGCTGCTTCGAGAAGGCCTTCTTTGTGGCAGAGTTTCTGACGGAGTTTGTTTCGGAAGTATTCCTCGACGATGTTCGGTGGCATAGCCAGTAGATCGCTGCCCGTCATGGCCGCAGAAGCACCGAAATGAAACTCGAAGTCGGACTGCGAAGCGGAACAGTGCCATCGACGATGGACCAAAGCAGTGAAGCGCCTTGGCCGTCTCACCGGCCATCCAATGTCCAGCCTAGGTCAGCAGAACTGGTTCACTCCATGGCCCTTCAATGCTAGAGGATAACGCCACACTTGAACATCCATTTTGCGCCCAGTAACGGTGAAAGGGTGAACTGGAAGGCAGAGTACCTCAGCCACCGAGGCAGGGCACACACACACACACACACACGCATGAAGTTCGATCAACTACATAACTGCGACAAGGCACAAGTCTTCGAGCCCATCCATGAGATGCTCCACGTGGAATCGCATAACGTTCTCGTGCAGGAGCAAGTCTGGCTGGTGGGCTTTGAGGCCCTCCTTCCACCACAAGAAAGAGACCTGCGAAGGACCATGCGACCTGAGGGCCTTCTGGTTCATCGACGACCAATCGTAGCAGCATGTGCCACTCACTTGGATTTCCAAGCACCTTCGGTTTGTGGCCCGGGCAAGACAGGCCTCCGGCGCCAGAGCCGGAACATCTTGCTGTTTCCAGCGACAGAAGACTTTGTGGTCCAGTGGAAAGTAGCTGGACAGGTTGTGGTGGACTTCCGTCGCCAAGTTCTCAGTGCGGTTGGCAACAACTCAAGACAGAAAGCCTGGGCACACAAGCCCAAAGGCGAAGCCCTCAAAACCGACCCTGGTGAACAACTACAAATTCAACTGTGAAGCAGCTAAGGAAGCTTTATTTTGAGCAAGCGTCTTTCAAGAAGGCAGATCTCTCCTCGGCAGTCGCCTGAGCAGTTGGAGCAAAAGGCGCAATGTCGGACATCATGTCTTTGGACACAAAGTCCTCCACATAGCCAAAGAGATGCTTTGCACGACTTGTTGCCGACAGCGCCTGTACTGCATGAACATCCGGGTCGCAGACGCTGTGCACGACGGGTTCCAACAGGTCTGCAGAGTCTGTGCCCTCTGCAAAGTGAAAGTGCTCCTTTAGCGCGGTGATGGCATCAAGCAAGCCTTCCTCTCCATTGCCACACCCGCTATGGTCGGAGTAAATCACCATGCAGTTGCCATTGGCCAAGTGGGCTTTCCAGCCATATCGCAAACGTGGTATGCGATGAAGCTTGGCTGCCAACTTCGACGGCCAGTCGTAGAGGTCGCCGATTGTGCTGCCTGCACGATCCCGAATCATAACCCGCTGGCGCTTGCATGACATCCTCATTGGCCGTGGGGCCCAAAACCTTGGTTTCGGCACAGCTCCAACGAAATCAGCAATACACACCGAACAAAACCGAGTACAGTACATCTTGCAGCGAAATTCCGACACCCGCCGACTGGTGAAGCTATGATGGGTAGATGTGGTTAACACTCTCATGATCTCTCATGTGTACACCCCATCCCTCTGACCGCCCCTGTTACAAAGAAAGACGGATGTTGAGGTTGAAGTGTGCAATGAACATTGGATTTACAAGTTGTCTGTGCTCATCTTGACCGTGTGAGAATGGAATCTTGTAGCTGCTATCCGCGTTCATTGTGCCTCTTGGGTTAACGGCCAGTGGAAATTATTACCTTTAACGATCGTTCCCTGAAAAGCAAAAAATAGAGTTGTTGTTTAATTGGAGAAAGATGAATTCAGCCTATAAACACAACTGCGCGGCAGTAGGAGTTCTGTTTACACAAAACTGTGTTTTCTATTGGCCTTTGGGCTGCATCTTGAGTAGCCACATCGCGTCGGTGAGCATGTAGAATCGCAACCGACACCCGCCGACGTCCGAAAGTACGAAGCGCGCGCGTCATGTTTTTTCTGACGTTTTGCGGCCACCCCATCATGCCGTATTGGATGCAAACTTTTCTGATCGAACAACCGGTTTGCAGTCAATTCTTAAGTTTGAAAGCCTGAAACAGAAATCGGTGTTCATGTAGCATCATGTAGCACTTGTATCGACAATCTCCCCGAAGCTCCCCGAAGCTCCCCGAAGCTCCCCGAAGCTCCCCCTCAGCTCCCCGAAACTTTCCCCAGCTGCCCGCCACCTTTTCACAAGCCCAGCCGGACCACCACTTCCCAAAACCAAGTCCTTTATTACAACCTGCTCATGTCTGCATCACCCATTCCCATCGGATGTCTGGGGCACTTGGACACAGTCCCGGCTGCTTGGGCTCCCCGAAGCTCCCCGAAGCTCCCCGAAGCTCCCCGAAGCTCCCCGAAGGTTGTGGCAGCTCCCCGGACCTTTTTGCAGAACACGACACACCAGCACCAAAAGCTTGTCACGAGGTGCCGGGCAACCACACCCCAAAACAGTTCGCGCACAAAAGACCAAAGCAAATGGGGCAGCACTTCAGGACTCCGCAAAACTTGGTTTCAAGCTGGGGAACACACGATGTGGTCCTGGAAGCTCATGTTGCTCTGTTTCAGCGGTTCCAGCATGGCAATGAAGTGTTGTATTCGCAAAAGAAACTGGACTGTGTGGAAACGACAGACGTGCTATCTTACACAACATGACTACAACACTGAAAAGCCTCGGAACATGGCTGGCGGCTGGCAATGCATAGCACACATCAGCATCTATATGACCCAGAAGCGGCGGACTTCGCTCCTCAACGACAGATGCAGAGGTACTTCCAACGCCGCACCAGCTGCGCCCCTGACCCCAAAAAGGCTGCTGCTGCTCGGCTGAGCACCTTTTTTTAGGGTTTGGGTCTAAACCACAGGGTCTTAGGCTTAGGGTTCGGGAGCTCGGCTGAGCGATCCTAGCGTCTTAGAACTGGGCCTAAACCACAGGGTCCTAGGGTTCGGGAGCTCGGCTGAGCGATCCTAGCGTCTTAGAACCGGGCCTAAACCACAGGGTCAGGGTCCTAGGGTTCGGGAGCTCGGCTGAGCGATCCTAGCGTCTTAGAACTGGGCCTAAACCACAGGGTCCTAGGGTTCGGGCGCAGAAGCGGTGGTGACTTCGCTGGCCCGAAGCAAGGCAGCGACGGGATGCAGTGGAGGAGAGCCGCAGCCGAACTAGGTCCAGGATCGTAAGCTTGGTCGGGGAAGCCCCAACTCGATAGGTTCACAAGCGCATTCGGCGATCGTTCGTCGCGGGATTTCTGGGTTGCCGAGTGCTGTAAGTGCTTAAGGTGGGGGAAAGGGCACAAGACAACTCCTCCTATTGGGGTTCGGGTCTAAACCACACGACACAGGGTCCTAGGGTTCGGGTGCTCGGTTCACTCGCTGGAGGAAGAGCTGTCTGAGGACGAGGATGACGACGAGCTGCTGCCTGATGAGGAAGATGGAGCAGCAGCCTTTGGCGCCGCTGCCGCACGTGCGCTTGCACTTGCACTTGCACGCTTCCGCTTTCTACTTGGCACAGCAGATGAGGCAGCAGACGGATTGGGCCGAGGATCAGACGGCTCAGCAGAAATGCTATCAACCCGGCAAGCAATCATGGTAGCCTCGTCTGGGAGCTCCTCCAACACGGGATGATAAGCCTGGTGGCTGACCTTGTCCTCGAAGAGGAAGACACTGTTGCACCAGTGCCGGACACGCCATAGAGTCGTCATCTCCTGTGCTTCGTCATCAGGATTAAAGGACATTGTTTTCGTGCACTTCTTGTTTCCGAGAGTATGGGCCGGATGAGGGCACGTGGCCTGCCACGACTGCACCGGTTTAGCCTTGCCCTGCTTCTGAATCTTGTGCGTTATCAAGAAAGCTCCCCAACGGTGTGTCTTGTCTTGGCGACGCCTAGCCAGCAATTCATCGGCGGGCTGCGGCCGCTCAGGCCGCTCAGGAACAGCAGCTTGTGCAGCCCCAACATCGGAGGGTTCTTCATTCAGAATTGCCAGGGCCTCGTCTATTGCCTGGTGATCTCTCTCTCCAACCAAAGGCGACTCCACTTCCACAGCATGTCCTGGTTCCAAAAACGGCGGATCCTCGGACAAGACGGAATCACGGTCGTCCTGGTCCTGATCCCCTGGAAGCTCTGGAGCACCAACAACAGCAGGAATGGGACGTGGCTGGGCAGGTCCAGGCTCACTAGCTAGAAACAAACGATCACGGGCAACAGCACGAGACGTCTCTTTCGGCTCCAGATCGGTTAGTGCCTGAAGTGATGCCTCACCAGAAGCTACCTGAAGAAGGCACTGAAAGTACTTCACAGACGCAAGATGGAAGATTCTTTGCACACCAAGGGCTATCAGTGCATCACGGTTCTCGTGGATGGCTAACATGGCACGCAGGTAGTGCCTGGACACCACAGGTACTTTCTTTTTGAAGTACCAAGTCTTGCCCGGCCGAGAACCATCCTCCGAAGCTGAAGCTTCCTCTGCAGGGCCATCTGGCAAACGGATCTGCATTTCCAAGCCTTTCCGCTTCTTGTGGGTGGGCAGCTGCAGAGCTACCCAACCTGCATCTCTCAAGCATGCCATGATCTCGTAGCGGGTCCACTGGCCTCGATCGTCAAGCAGTCGCGGCTGCAAAACCGATACCGGATGGGTTAGTGCCACACGAGTCGAAACCCACTTAAGGGCTTCTGCAGTTAGGCACCAGCCTTCAGCACTGCAATCTTGCGCGGCCCAGCCGCGGTCTTTCATCTGCTGCAGGATTTGCAAAGACGAGTCAGCCGATTTGATGCGAGAACGTCTGAAAGCCGGTTTCAGCAACACTTTTCCCGAACCGGCCACAGCATCAGAAGACATGAAATCCGTGACGACCCGATCCATGCTCGCCTGATCGGCAAGAATCAGAGGTCCCGTCCAAGCGAACCTGACCGGACTCGAAGACTTAAAGCGAAAAACTGAGTGCTGAAAGAGTGCATCATTTATGATGGCACTGGCTGCTGCCAGCGACCCTTCAGAGCCTTGAGGCTTTCCAGTCGTATACAGGACATTGGCATCAGGCTTTACATCACAGCCGACCACTGGAAACATGGTTACAGCCACATCTGAAGAAGTCAGTGTTGTCATGCAAGACCCTTTGACTTGCTTCAGCAAAGACGGCCTCCAAGACTGGACTTTGAACAAGACACAACGACGAAATCGTTCATCAGCGACTACAGATTGCTCATCACACATGTGGCTGCCCCACGTAGATGCTACGGCAGCGCTATGATCCTGGCCCCGGTCGCAAGGATCAGCTTCGATCAATGCCACCTGACCCGCGTCATCGAGACATGCATCCGCAAACCTGGCATTGCCAGCCAAAGTGCATTGCAACTGACGAAAAGGAAACTCGTTTGCCGGCATGCCTGCAGCAGCATCTTGCAGTGTGGCCGCAAAGAAATCACATGATGAAGTGGCTGTAACACGGAAGTGCTCCAAGGCTAGGTGGCGCTGCAAAGAGTTTGTGTCTGCAATCGTCAGCGGCAACTTGGACGCCGACTTGGCCTGGCCATGCGTCTGCTTGGCATCAAGGACATCTTCCCAGTCGGCGAACTGCGTAGCTGCATCGAGCCGGAACATAACCCTATCTACAAACCCGAAACACTGCAGCTGCTTGTCGGCTTGCTTTTTAGAAAGACTGTCCAAGGCAGTAACAGAAGCATTGCTCTTGAGCCCCAAGTGCTCAAGAACAAAAACTGGCAACCGCAATCGGTCAAAATGCTCTGCCAATTCGACCAACGTCTTAGGATCCTGAGCCGCGTTGTCCATGATTGCGGCTGACCTCAGCACGTTCGCAACGTAAGCCCCGCGATGATTCGGAGCTGTTTCTGTAGCACGTTTGACAACAGCATGGCGTCCCTCTATTGACCTTTCCAGCAGGGGAAGGAAGGCAATGGGTCCCAGCACAGCACGCAGCTGGAAACAATCGTCGGAATCGCGAGGCGACCCCTGCCCAAAACGAACGAGCGAGTCTCGAACATTGGAGTCTGACATGAATGCATGGCACAGGGGGTGGGCACTCGCCTTGTCCGGTTTTGACATAAATTCCCACTCGCCCAGCAAGCGACGGCAGGCAGCACGAGCCGTCGTTTCGGACGGATGCGCAAGGGCCAGAAAGGAGTGTGGCATGGCTGTCCAGTTCGCAAACTTCAACTGCAACATGAAGCTGAAATGCTGCAAACCTGCAACATATTCCGTGAACAGATCGGAGTTTGAAGGAAACACATCGGCAGCTCCTTGCAACTGATCACGCATGAAAGAAACCACGAAACCAGCGGCCAGCTCAGGAGCCCTCCTGCCTTTCATCGGGCAGGCAGCGTAGTGTTTGCACCTATCCTCATCGTCCTGGGCCGCTGCTTCACG